GAGAGGAGCAAAAGCTTTGCCAGTGAGCAAACAGTGCAGAGGAGGCTGAGGGACAGCAGTGAGGACCTCTGCCAAATCCAGTGACAATCACTGGGACTGCTCCTGAGAGGCAGGCACAAGAGAGAGACATCTCACACTGGGACCATGGATGTTTGCTTTGCATGGGTATGACCTGTGTGTAGCACGAGAGAGTAGAGATGGTGGAGAAGGAATATTTCAGCTGCTTACTCCATGAGAAGTAAGTTCTGACTTGAAATAAACTTGCAGCAATTGTAGCCTGAATTAAACTTGTCACTTAGCTGTTAGAACCTCTGACACTGAAATTATACTGAGCTGAAACAGATCTATCCACTGTTAATTTCCTACTTTGTCTCACCTGCAAAATAAAAAACTGCAGAACAACTAAATGTAAAGAACACTGGAGACCTACAAATCTGGAGATGGACTTTGTATGAGGGAACAGAGTGATAGAACAAAGGGGAATGATATCCCCCTGCCACAGGGCAGAGTCAGATGGGGAGAAATTGTTCCCTGTGAGGGTGGGCAGGCCCTGGCACAGGGTGCCCAGAGCAGCTGTGGCTGCCCTTGGATCAATGGCAGTGCCCAAGGCCAGGCTGGGCAGGGCTTGGAGCCACCTGGGATGGTGGAATGTGTCCCTGCCATGGCAGGGGGTGGGATGGGATGGGCTTTAAGGCCCCTTCAACCCAAACTGTTGTGTGATTCAAACACTGAATCACCACTAAAACCGGAAGAGCCAGGGAGCTGCTTGGAAGTGCAGGCCAGGAGCTGAGATGTTGCAGCTTTCACCTGCAGAGCCAGGCAGGGGCTCCTGAGCTGCCACAGGTCTGTCAGAGACTCTGAGTGATGCTGGAGATGAGAAACACCCCCACACCAGAGAGGCACCCCAGAGGAGCCACCCCAGCCACATTCCAGCTGCAGGAGCAGAACTGGCCTGGCTGATGGGCAGCACAGAAGCACACACCAAGGCTCCCATGTGTGTGTGTGTGTCCAAGAGCTCGGGCTCCCAGCTGCACAGATATGTGTCAGCACATGCCCTGGGCAGCACCAAGAAATGAGGTCAAGCAGAAAGCAGCACTGACTCACATCAGGCACATGTGGGGCTCCACGGCAGCTCTGTCTCAAGCACAAAACACAACTGCACAGGCAATGGGAGCTGATGCTCCTGCAAACCTCCCAGTGCCTGATCTTTGCTCTTTTTCCCCAAATCATGACTTATTTTTATTTAGTAGTGCAGAAAGATCTCTCTCTTGCAGCAGAAACCATAACTGCTCTTAGCAGTGAGAGCTGAACACGAAGTGCACTGTGGCAAGAGGAGCAAATCATTAAGTGCTGTCAGAGATTTCTCATCTGCACCACTGATGCAGCAACTGAAATTATCCATCACATACACAAGGCCCTGTAATGTCTCTGGGGGGTTATTCCCAACCTGTAGCTTTAGGGACCTGACCCTATAAATCCCCTAAAGGGTGTGAAAATGGTCAATGTCAGCCTTGAGCATGAAGGGCTGAGGCACTACTAAAAAGAACAGGAGCACAACTCCCTACCACATTCAAAGCTGAAACCCTCCAGCCCCAGCCATCTCATCTAACCTAATAATTCACTGCAAATAACATTAAATATGCAATATCTCTCTCTCTTGGCTGTTTCCTGCATGTTGGACTCACTCACCCAAACCAAATTCTCCTCCCCAGTACATCACAGAAGGCTCACAAATATTTGCATCACTCATATACGGCAGAGGTACCTCTCCTTCTGGATTTTTCATTCATTATAACATTTTAAAAAAATCCCTTTTAGCTTTCCAGTTACAACAGAAAGAAAATGAAAAGTAAGTTTATACTTGGGAATTTTCTTGGCTGTAAGATAAAATTAGAAGACATGCAATGTCAAATCTACTGATCTAATTGAAGGGAAGACAAGATGAGGCCCAGAGAGGCATGGACAATCCATTGGAGGAACAGCTCCATTTAAAAGAGGACACAGACAAAAAAGATTAAATAGAAAGGAAAAACATGACAAGATAACAAAGCCTAACAGAAGTCAAGGTTCTTTTCAAGTATAAGGTATAAAGGTGCCAGGCACTGAATATGTGTTTGAAGAGCATAATACTTTTGATCCATTAATGTGAATCGAAGTTAGGAACAAAGCAGGTGGAAATGACTACAGTGACCTTGGACAGGTGTGGAAAAAACACCCTTTGCTTAAATCTGTTTTAGAAGGAAGGACAAGAAAAAAATTCAGAACTCCCAAATGACAAGAAAAGACTTGTTAAGCTGATTCCCTTTTACTTCCCCAGATGCACAGGACTGGCAAAGAGAGCAAGGAGGGGAATGTTCTTCCAAGGACTTGGAATACACGTCAAATCTCCTGCCTGCAAATGCTCCAACCCAAGCTGCAGGAGCATTAGCAAAGGGCAGAGTGTAAATCCAGAGACAATTACCCTGACACAGTAACAAAGGTATCACAGGAAAAGCCCCAGCTCATCCCTGAGCACAGCCTCAGGCACACACATGGCCTCAAGGAGAACTCCTGGTCCTGGGGATGGGCTCCACAAAAGGCCTGGGGTGTGTGTGAGCCCAGAAACAAGGAATTGCTTGCCAAATTTGGCTGTGACACCCCTATTTCTCAAACTCTATGTGAGCAAAGCACACTCACTGCTTTCAGGGTCCAAACACTGAAGGTTCTGAGGGAAAAATACTTTTCCCAACTTACTTACTGTGTTGTGAGGAATGACCCTTCCCAGTGAAGAACTAAGCACAAGTGTATCAGGCTGAAGGGTGCCCAAAGATCTGTAAAACATGGGGGTGTCTTGAGGTCACCCTGCAACCTCTGCTTCCCTACCACAGCCTGAGACCTCGGCACTCCAAAGGTTCCCACACAGCATCTGAGGGGAAAAGATGAAAGCAGCTGAATCTCAGTGCTGAGGAAGCTGCTGTCAGATTTATGGTGAAGGAGATTAACAGCAATGCCACGTGCTGAGGAGCAAAACAGCTTCACTGCACACCCACTCTTCCCTGCAAAACTTCCAGCAACTGACAGCTGGTACCTGACAGCTCCGTGAGATCCGAGCTGCCTCCACACAAACGGTGGCACTGAACGGTGGCACTGAACGGTGGCACCCAGCCCTGCCTGCACCGACCACCACAAGGCTGAAATGCTGCTTGACAACAGCAGATCCTGCTGGGAACACAGGATTTTCACAGGACATCGTGGGGGAGCTAAGGGGTCTATATTGTGCTCCCTACTCCACAGCACAGTCTGCTGGGTGAGCCTGGAAAAGGGATTTGTACATAAGAAAGGGGACTGACAACTTTGCTAAGATTTGCTGAACAATAAAGGATGACATTTAGAACCCCAGCCCTCAATTCCCAGGCAATTTTAAGTTCTGTTATGCTGAAAAACTGAAAGCAAATAAACTTAAACCACTGCAGAATTAAGCCTAGCAGCCCCTGGCCTTTAGGCATGTGCTAAACAAGCTTACAAAGGATTTGTCTCAAGGCAGCCCTCCTCAATTAGCAGCCAATCGACTGAGGAGCATCTGGTGGCAGCTTTATCCTGGTAATAGACACAACAGGAACGTGGAGAGGTGTGCATGGAGCAAAGGGTCCCAGGATCTTCATCACAGGTACTGGTGTCTTATTCTCACACAGGATGCACTGAGAGAGCACAGAGCAGAGCCAGGAAAGCTCCACTGCCACAAACACCAGCCCCAAACTGGTCAGGGCAATTCTGTGGCACTTTACTGGTTTAGCTGTGAACAGACATGGCCAATCTGGGGAAAACTGGGGGAAAAAGGGGTGGATTTGGGAGGGAGTTCAACTGTCAGCAAAAGCAGTGTTCATCTGGATGATCAGAGAGCAAAGTGAGCAGCAACCACTCTCAGCTGCTGCTGCTGCCTTTGGGGTCCCCTGTTCACAATGAGCAACAAACTGATGCTCCCAGTTTTAACTGTTGAAATAAAAGGTTGGAGGCTGTTTCAGACAAAACAAATCTTAAGGCGTGAATTTTTCAGAAATCTTGAAGTGGTCACATTGTCAAGAGGAGCTCAAGAGAGGCTCTCCCTTCCATTCACGGGAATCACATCAGCTGTCTGCAAGAGCTGCAGCTTCCCACCTTCATTCTGGGCTCCCATAAACTAAAGGAACTGGGAACAGCCCATGGAGGAAGCAGCAGGCTACAACTGGCAAACACCAAGCCTGGGGATCCCTTCAGCTGACTGAAATGCCCAGCAGATTATAAAATAAAACCTTGCAAGATCCCATAAACAAGCTCCTCTAACAACACCCAAATGCTGCCCTTAAAATGCAACAGCAAACCTTTGAGAAGGGCATTTGACTCACACCTAATTGTGACAAAGTCCAGAATATTGAAAAGAAACTCTGCCTAAAGCACCTCCCATGGTCAACATCAGCCTTCTGCACCACCAGTGAATGAACTTCAGTGACAGCACTCAAGCCCCTTGTGGAAATCACAAGTTTTGGAGAGAGGTCTCCTGACAGTTCAATCACAGAGTGGATGAGGAAGAACAATACAGGAGACTTTTCCCAAAGATTTCCATCCTTTAAACAAATCAAAAAGCTCAGTATTACTCAGAATCCGGGCATAGATACATCCATACTACAGTGCTGATTGGGATCACAGCTGGACACATTTTGAACTGAGTGGCATTTGGTGATATGGCAAAGGCCACAAACTGACCCTGCCTAACAATGTCTTTTTTTTTTTCTTTTCTTCTTTGTCAAAGAATAATTACATAAATTTGGATTTTCTTGTTTGCTTTCTTTTTTTTCCCCTTCTAACAACTAAGCTGCCATTCTTAATAATGAGATACCAATCCTTATTTTTCCTGGAAAATTGGGAGAGGAGCTGAGGCTCTGTCCCTGCAGCAGGACTGTCACAGACATGCAGCCAAACCTAGAATCCCCCACCTGCCCTGGCCCTCAGCAGCTGGAGCAGGGAAGGTGCTCAGTGTTACTCACTGCCATGACGAGCTCAAAAGGGTATTTGTAGACTCGAACTGGGGACTGGTATTTCTGCACCATTTTTACCACACACCTGTAACAGAGAGAAATTAGAACATTTTAGATCCCCCACATCAAGCAGTGCAATATATTCTAGGTGATTTTTAAAGATCTTACTAGAAGTTGTAGCTCTTTCTTACAAATAGAGAGGAGATTTATTAGGTGGAATATCTTGCCTAGTGAGTGGCAGAGACAGAGGCAAATCTCTGCAGTCCCAGTCCAGAGCTGTGCCCAGCATCCTGTGCTGCTTGCCAGCACTACTGCAATAAATTCAACTTGGAGCTCCAACAAAACTCACAATAATTAAAGCACAGTACAGAGATGTAAAGCCAGAATGAAATGTACTCTGGAGAAGGAGCCTGTCTTAGGAGCCTTACAGAGTCTACACAGCAATTCTTCCCCCTATCCCCCTTCCCTAAATTATACCTGTAATCATTAGGGCAAAATCTTTCTCATTGAAAGCTTCTACAGCTTCCCATACCATGTGTTTTAAATGCTTTTGTGCACAAAGTAGGGTTCAGTTGTTTTAGCTCACTGAAAGGAAGGAAAAGGAAGCAGCATGCTGAAAGAACATGCCTGATGCTAAGCTGGCAATCACATCCCACTGCCTGGATGCCCACTGTTCCAGCTGAACTGAGGCAAGAACTGCAGGGAGCAGGAACAATCCTGTCCTCAGCATTTCCCTGCTCCCAGCCACCTCTCACTGTCCTCATCAGGATTCCTCCCTCAGACTCTCCTGCCTGGGTTTTAACCCTCAAACATGCACCAGTAACCAGCATCTCAAGGGAAGTGCACAAATCATTATAAAAAGCATTATTAGGCTGCTTTCTGCAATTCCTTTAGGAATTCCTTTGTTCTGCTCCTGCCAATGCCATCCATGAGCATCAGGACACAAAAGGCTGGATGGACGGCTGGTTGGAGGCACTGTGCTCATTCCACCCCACTCAAATTCCACTGCTGAGCAGACACAGCCCTGGGCAGCGTGACGCAGTGTAGCGCTGAACTCAGTCAGAGCACTCACAACTTATCCCTGACATTTTCAGCCCAAAACCCGAGGTGAAACATGAATAGGCAATAGATTCTCCCTCAAAAATTGCTGCAAGATGCCATCACACTGTGAAATCTATGCAAGGATGAGGGGAAAAAGGACATGAAGAGTTTGAGTACCTGAGAATGGGGGATTTTTGGAGAAATAGGGCCCAGTGATCAGACAGTTCCTCTGCAGAGGATCACATTACCCAAGCAGCAAAGGTCAGGACTTGCTGGGTCTCTGTCTCACTGGGGCTAAAAGCCAGTCCATGCCAAGCCAGTCAGGGCAGAGAGAAACTCCCAGCAGAGCATCCAACCCAGAGTGCAGCAGGACAAGAACATCCCAGGGAGCCCTGGCTGCTATCAGGTGTCAGACACCCGAGCCAAGAGGCACAGGACAGGGCACCTTGGAACATGACCTGTAACACGATTAGGCTGGGCAGGGACCCTCCTGTGGGCACAAACAGAGCTGGAGAAGCCTCCTCAAGCACATTTAGCAGGGATCTTGCTTATTCTGACCTCACCTCCTGCACCAGGATTTCCTGCACCTTGGCAGGAGAAGGTCAGAAACCTCCACAGCAGGAAGGCCCAAGACAGATCAGTCTAGAATCACCCACAGAGGCACCAGCCATAGAGCAGTGGGATGGCACAACCTGGACAGAGCCCCTGCTCCTGGCAGCTGCTGGACCTGACTGCCACATGTTTATTGTCCCTGTGCTCCTCCAGCTGAGGGGAGGCTGGAGAAAAGAGCCAGTGACTGTTACACCCATGGGAAGCTGTGGAAGAATGACAGCTGATAACTCACACCTGCCCTGGAAATCTTTCCTACCTCGGGAGAGTGCAGTGGTAGCAGACTTTCTATGCCCTCTCCTCCAAACAGAGCTGTGAGATGGTCATTGTGCTTCTCAAAGCAACAGGGATTCTTGCTGTAAGTCCTGGAAAAAAAGAAAAAAAAAACATCAGAAAAGGCAGTGAAAGGTGGCTGCTTGGCACACCCAGCTGAAGATGATGATTAGCACTGATGAGGACAAAGAGTCCCAGGTGTTACCACTGGGCAGCTGGGCCATATTAGCTCAAGAGTGCATCTTCCCAGGGCTTTAGCACCAAAGAGAGATGTGGTTTTAAATTCATCTCGTGTTCCACTCAAATTATAAACAGGTATGTTCAACCACCAACCAGAGAGTTTGTCTGCTCCTCAAACATCCTCCCAGCTCTACAGTGGCCCAGGCTCCCTGCTCAACTTCCTATGCGCATCTGGCTAAAGAAACATTGAGGGAAGACAACTCAGGTGAAGAGCAGTGACCCACTGAACTGCAGCATGATCACTTGGAAACCCCAATCCACAGGTGGAGGCACACCTGGAGCATCCATGGGGAAACACTAGGAAAGAGGTTCAATACCAGCTGGGCAAGCCCAGAGTAGTTAAAATAAAAGAGAAAAGCTCAGAGGTTGGAGTCATCAATGCATTGAAGCAACAAATCTGGCTGCTAACAACTACCCCAATAATAGCAACCCTAACCATCCCAAGTAGTATTAAAAATAATTCAATTCTTGCACAGCTGCACACAGCAAACAGCAGCAGCCACGACATTTCCCAAAGCACCCTGTGACACACTGTGCCAACAGCACTGAGCCCTGGGAGCCTCAGCCCCCTGGGCACCCCTTTTGCTCCAGCCCACACAGCAACTCCTCTGTGAGCCAGAGAGAGCTCATTACAAGCTTGAGATGCACCAGCAGGTGCTCCAGGGAAGGAGGTGGGAGGAGGAGGGATATGGACCCCTGATGGCACCTGCTGTAACTCCAGAGAAATGGATTCTGAAGAAGCAGTGGTGCAGCCCCAGTGTGCAAAGCTCCCCCAACACAGGAGCCAGGCAGGAACTCACATCACTGCATACAGCAAAGGGACAGGCAGTGACAGTGACTGGGTGTTTCCTTCTCATCCAGAATCACCCACTGCACACCTGAGGGATTTTCCATATGCTTGACTTCTATTCTGCTATTTGTAGGAGCAGCTTACTCCACAGAATGCAGCCAGATGGTTGGAAATCAGAAATGAGTGCACAGATGAAATACACAGAAACCCCTGAATCAAATCCCCTGCCCCTCATCAAGGCACAGAACTCACTCAGCTCCTTCCACACTGGGGCTGCCTGCTGGATGTGGAACTGGCAGCAAGTGGCTTTATTAACTTCTCCCACCTGTGGTGGCTGCTTTTCATCTTGAAGAGAACTGAGCAGGTTTTTTTTGTTTTGTTTTCGACAAAGAACTGCTGAAAATAGCAGGATTCTTGACTTCCTCAAATACCATTGCACCACGTGAAAGCCAGCTGTGGCACCCAGCTAAGCTGATATTTCCAGTTAGAAAAGGGGAATCCACAGGGCTGCATTCTTCCTAGAGAAAGGTGGAGTGAAAGGTGTGTGACATTTCCTCTGCCTGGGGCCCCTTTCACTGAGGGAGATATTGTAATTGATGCTTTATACACAGAATAACAACACAGCACCAAGCTGTAGGATATTTATTAGAGCTTTTTCACCTAAGAACTTGAGAACAAGTCTCTTGAAGGTTGATATAAAGAAGGCTCAAGGCAGAATGGTGCCAGAATAAATCTTTACCAGTTTTTAGAAGGAGACATCTGCTCAGGCAGGGCTTAGTCTTGCCCCTGAGAACATCTCTGGAGCAGGTGAGGCAGCATGGAAGGTACAGGTCACTGTGCTGAGGTGGAGCCTGGGCACTGCTGCTACACCTGGCAGAGGTACCTGGAGTCCTGGTGTGGACCAACACCAAAGACAAGCAACACAAACACCCAAACAACAACATTGATACACTCCTGACCACACAATAGGGAACAGTCTTTTTGGCTGAGGGGAAGAAGGAAACGGAACAGTGTCAGCACTCTGCTCTCAGAGCTGTTTCTCTTCCATGTGTGTATCACAACAAGCTCCATGCCCAATATTTCCATACATGCCTCTCATAAGGTAATTTTCTCACCAAAGAATCACCATGGAACTTTTATGCACAGCAATGCATTAACTCTGTGATATTTGCCAGCCTGCAGCAGGAGATAAGCATTCCTGAAGTAAACCCCTTATTCTTCACCTTACTACTCCACAGGAAGTCACAGCACATCCATTTATCCACCCAGGGTAGGAAATAGTTCAATTTTCAAACAAAATTTAAGAGTAGGAGACACAGAATCCTGGAATGGTCTGGGTTGGAAGGGACCTTAAAGCCTATCCTGTTTCATCCACTGCTTTGCACAGGGACATGTTCCACTGTTCCAGGCTGCTCCAAGCCCCATCCTACCTGGCCTTGAACATTTCCAGGGATGGGGCAGCCACAGCTGCTCTGGGCACCCTGTGCCAGGGCTTCATCACCCTTCATCCCTTGTCTCCAGTCCCTTTCCAGCTCTCCTGGAGCCTCTTCAGGCCCTGGCAGGGGCTCTGAGGTGTCCCTGGAGCTTCTCCTCTCCAGGTGAGCACCCCCAGCTCTGCCAGCCTGGCTCCAGCCCTTGGGGCACCTCCATGGGCTCCTCTGGACCCACTTCAACAAGTTCACATCCTCCTTTGCCAAGGACCCCATGCTTCAGTTTAACACATAAATCAAGAGCAGAGCCAGGCAGAAGCTCACTTGACAGTACAACAAAGCCCCAGCAAACTGTTTCAGCGTGCCTTGAGTTAAGTCTGCAGCTGTATTTTCCTTTAACAGAGGCTGGCTGTCATCAGCCCCACCAGACAAGTGGTGCCATCCACACAAGCACCTTCTCACCCTCTACAGACCAATTTTACTGCTTGGAGGAGTTTAGCCAAGTGACCCAGAGACTATACGTGGTTCACCTTGAAGCTGACTTGAAAACATGGAATCACAGAATGGTTTGGAAGGGACCTTAAATCCCGTCTCGTTCTAGCCCCACTACCCCAGGTTGCTCCAAACCCCATCCAGCCTGGCCTTGGGCACTTCCAGAGATGCCCAGCTTCTCTGGGCAACCTGTTAAATCCATCAATGCACTCAACAGCCATTGATCAGGGTCACCCTTGGAGTTTATAAACACTTCAGGGCGAGTTTCAGGGTGGATCTGTTAACCCCGAGCCCGGGGCGCTCGGCTGGTGCCGGGGTCCCGCTCGCAGCCCCCTCCAGGCTCGGCCCGCCCGCCGCGCTGCCCCCGGCACCACGGACCCGACAGCTCCAGAACCGCTGCATTTTGTCCTTAGACCCCCAGGGATCCCCCGCCACCCCGGTCTTCACCGGCTCCTTTCCCGATCCCACAGGATTATGGCTAAAATTGCCCTCTCGGCTTCTCGTGTCCGAAGGAGAGCGGCTCCCGGCGCCCCCACACGCCCCCGTTCCGCCGCCTCACGACGCGCCCGGCCAGACACGCGAGGCAGGAAAAGCCTCACACCCACCCCCTCCCGCCCCTCCCTCACACGGCGGCGCCGAGAGACCCCCGGAGAGCGCTGCCCATCGCGGCTGCCTCCCGTACCCCACACCCAGATTCCCGAGCCCACACCGCGGCTCCCCTCCCTACCGCCCGTCCCGCTCCCCCTCACCGCGGGCGCGGCGCAGCCCGGCCGGACCCATCCCGCTCTCGGCGGCTCCCGCGGCTGCGGCGGCCCCGCCCCCTGCCTGCCCCGCCCCCGCGCGGCCCCGCCCCCGCAGGGCGCTGTCCATTGTGCTGCGGGGGCGCGGGCAGGCCCCGCCCCCCGCACGTGCGGCCTCCCCGCGCCCCCCGCCGCCATCTCGCTGAGGGGCGGGCGGGTCCCGGTCCCGCCGTGAGGGAACAGCGCTGCCCCGTGTCCCACCGAGCCCTGCCTTCCCCCTTGGCCTGTCATTCCAGCCCCTGTCCCAAGTCCCTCTCCAGATCTCCTGGAGCCCCTTTAGGCGCTGGAAAGGGCTCTGAAGTCTGAGTCTCCAGCTCTCTCAGGCTGTCCCCACAGCAGAGCTGCTCCATCCCTCTGATCACCTTGCTGCCTCGTCTGGACTCGCCCCAGCAGCTCCGTGTCCTTCTGAGGGCTCCAGCCCCGGGCACGTTTCCCTGTGGGGTCCCGTGGGCAGAAAAGGGGAATAAGGAGGGCTGTGTGTGGAGATGGGCTCACCCCACCCCACAGAGGGGCCACAGCAACAACCCTGCCTGAGCTCCAGGCGTGCTTGGACGACGCTCTGGGACACAGGGTGGGATTGATGGAGTGTCCTGTGCAGGGCTGTGCTGGACTGGATGATGCGATGGGACCCTTTCAGTTCAGGATATTCCATGTTTCTGTGATATTCCATGTTTCTGTGATTCTCCCCCAGTTGGCACCTGTCCTTGAGGTGGAGGAGGAACCTTCTTGGGTCAGGGCAGGAGGACGCAGAGCCACAGCTCCAAAACAGTCTAATCCTGCTCATCCCAGGGTAGGTCAGAGCAAAGGGACCTGCTCACCTCAGCCCTTTACTCTATCACTGCACTGTATTGTTTGATTTATTACATGATTTATCACACACCTGTGAACCCACTCCTTGAGCAAATATTCCCCAAACTGTACTCTGGGATGAGGTACCAGGGCACACCCAGACAAGTGACACTGAGGAGGACCCTGGGAGACATCCTCACCCCTCAGCTTCCCCTCTCCCATCAGCTCTGAAAGCCTGAGCAGTGTTTGGTGAAACCTTTGCAGCTCAGGGTGAGTGGCCCCTGTTTGTCAGGCCGTGCTGGGCAGTTGTCACCATGCAGTGACAGTCCTTGGGGCCATGGCTCTGTGGAGGAAATGATGCCAACACTGCCTGACTTTGGGGTGTCAAAGAGTGCCTGAGCAGCTGGTCCTGGGGCAGGAGAGGCGTGTGGCACCAAGAGTGGGTGTGGGACACTGG